ACCAACCAACTAGATTTATATTGAAGCAAATCCTAGATATCATTTCAATCTTCAATATTTTGATATATTGTATCTCTTCAATGTAAGGACTCCTTTAAAGAATATAACCACAATACTATTATTACACCTAAAAAATTAATTTCTTAATATCAAATATTCATCAGTAATTAAAATTTGATTGTTATTTCTTGTGTGTGTGCTTCACACACACACACACATTTAACAGTGAACCAGAATCCAAATAAATGACATATATGTAGGCTCCTTTTCTTTACCTTTTTTCAGAAATATGTTTTTATTGAATTTAGAGAGGAAGGAGAGGGAAAGAGAGAAACATCCATGAGAGAAACATCTATTGGCTGCCTCCTGCACACCCCCTGCTGGGGACTGAACCTATAACTGGGGCATGTGCCCTCACTGGGTATTGAACTGGCGACTTCTTGGTGCATGGGATGACGCTCAATCAACTGAGCCTTACCTTTTGTTTTTTAACTGATTACTCATTTAATCTTCACTATAATTCTGTAAAAAAAGATAATATTAGTTCTATTTACAAAGGAGGAAACTGAGGTCCTGAGAGGTTAAGTAATTTTCTCAGCATCACAGAGCCTACTGAGTGCCTTTAGCGAAAGGATTTACAACTGCAAGTTTTCTAAAGTAAATGCTCTAAGAAAAATGAGATCAGGGACCTATTTGACTAGGTTTTGGCTAGAACAAACAGGAAGTTCTTTTGGCAGCATCGAACTTTCTCAGTCATGCATTTTAAGGGGGTTGGTGTCATCCTAGGGATATGGTCTTGAGCTAATAGATCAGTTTTGCTAGAATTTGGTCGTGTCCTTATTGCATGTGTTGGGTGCAGGGGTTGGATGGAGTCATTTGTGCTGAGAACCTGCATTTCTCAGTAGCTGGATAAAATTTTATATTCACAGTTTAATGACGGGCATTTTGGGGAAATGATAGACTGGAATTTAATCCAGTGTTGGGAAAGGGAAAAGAACTTATAATGAAAGGGAATAAGGCACAGTTTGGGGACCTGATGCAAACAAGAGAGCAGCAGTCAGGAAGGTGACTTTCAGGACCTGAGAAGTAACTTGAGTTTTTTGTGATTTAAGTCCAAGATGAATGGTATGAACCATAGTCGTCCAGTGGAAGGCGAGAGATCTCTGTTAACTGAAAATATCTGAGAAAGCTTCATGAAAGAGGACATCTGAGAAAGCCTAGAGGGATGATGGGTGGGCTTTTCTTGAATTAGCATTTTATTGTGATATTTCCATGAAACTCCATTTGATTTCCCCAGAAATAAATTATCATCTCATGATTCAATTATTTACTTGAAATATTTTATTTTTCTTTAAAGACACTGCCCAAAGTTGGTATTTCTCACTTTTTGACTCTTGACTAGTTTTCAGACAGATCTCTTCAGAATAACATAAATGCTCTAAGAAAAATGAGGTTCTAAAGAAGCCTCCATGTTTTTACAGTCAATTCCTCTGCCCAAAATACCTTCCAATGCCCTCCACCATACTATCTTCAGGGAATTGCTTATCCTTCAAGTCCCAGCTGAAGTAGCACCCTTTCTTTGCTCCCACAGTACAGTACTCTTTACTTTTCCTCTTATGTTACAGCTCTTATTCTGTTTATTCTACTTGTTGTAATTAGTTTGTACTCTTAACCCCCTAGTGCAGTCTGCTGTCCATAGATGATACCTAATGTTCGGTTAATAGATGTGGTTAAATAAGCTCTCAAGTATGTTTTCCAGTGTTAAGAACTCAGCTATCTTATGTGCATAGGTACAGTATATATTTTGTTAATTTAATTTTTATTTGTTCTTAGATGTCACTAAGAGGATCTGCGCCAGTGACAATTGTACCTCTTCCTGGAGAGCAAGTACAGGTTCAGGGGGTCATCCAGACAGCTCAGTCTTCTGTAATTCACCCACCACACGTGCAAACGGTACAGAAATTCCAAGACTTAGTGGTTGAGGGACTTTTATACCCTGAGTCTTCAGACACGTTTAAGTTGCTGTAGTTACTATATTATAAACCAAGAAAATAAAGTTGCCATGGAAATTAGGCTATAGAACAAATGAAGCAAATAGAAAAGTTCTAGAATTTGTAGTTTCATGTATATACTACCCACTGAGACTAGAAGACAATTTGGGGGGAAATTATTGCTTAGAACTTAAGGAAATGACTTTCTTAAGGGGAAGCACCTTTTTTATCGCAGATATCTGTCCTTCATGAAAACGGGAATTCTGAAGCAAGGGTGATAATGGGAGTGCTCATCTTAGCAAAGTAAGAACGTTCCTACCTTATCTCATAGAAGAAGAAAGTTCTTATCTGCCTTCCTTCATATTAACCGCTGACAACAGTAGGAAGGAAAGAGCCACCCTGGGCTCCTTTTCTTCTCACTCTTTCTCCCATTTTATCTTCTGGCTCCTGTGAGTCTCATAATGCCTTTGGACGTCTCTCATTTTTAGAAACAGCTGTCCTAGAAGAAAAACTCATTTTTTCTCCTGAATATATAGTGTCTGGCAATGTTGTCAGTTCTAGAGCTGCATTTTTATGTGGTTTTCCTACATGAAAGGAGGCTGCTGCATGGATTTTTGAGTTTTTGTATGAAGGTTTTACTCTTATTTGCTAGTGCTGTCACTAAAGAGAAATACTTGATCTTATTTATGAGTAATCTCTTAATTTTAGAAATTAATTTCCTACTTGAGGTCAGTGGGAGGTTTTGGAGTAAATTTAGGGACAGTGAAAACAGTTAAAGGTTTAGATTAGAATTGGTATATCCACGATACTTAAGGAAGCATAAAAGCAACAGATTTTTCTTAATTATTACTTTATTATTTGTTACTACTATTAGTGCTTTATTATTAGGTTGTGACCAGTTCTTTTGTTTCAAAAAATAAAATTTAATGTGTTTAATGTAAGATATAAATAAGTAGTTGTACACTAGAACTTGTTTTTGAAGAGTATAGAATGTAAAACAAGCTTCTCTGGAAATTTAAGATCTAAGTCTAAATAATTAGGGTTAGGCTTTCTCTAGATAGTAATACTAATGTAAAGAATTGATTTGTTAGGTCCTTTCTAGAAGCCTGTTTAGATTTTTTTATTTTTTATTTTCTTTAATGTATCTTTATTGATTTCAGAGAGAGGAAAGGAGAGGGGGAGAGAGAGATGGAAACATCAGTGATGAGAGAGTCTTTGATCGGCCGCCTCCTGCACACCCCCGACTGGGGATCAAGCCCGCAACCTGGGCATGTGCCCTGACCGGGAATCACCTGGATCCTAGGTCAATGCTCAACCGCTGAGCGATTCCCGGCCGGGCTAGATTATTTTTTTAAATGAAGGTGAAGTCAGATGTAACAATACAAATTTGGACAAGTGTTGAGAAATTTAATATTTATTAAAAATTGAAAATAACTTGTTTTCGTAGTTGTAAGATATAACTTAAAACTTGCATGTAGTTACTATGTTGACATCGTTTTAAAGGGTTTGTTGTTAACAGTTAACATTTAATGTGTGCTTGCTGAGTGCCATGCACTAAGTGCTTTACATGTATAACTAATTTAACTGTGAAGTGAGACAGCTATTACAGATTTTTAACTAGAATATGTTTATACCTGCCCTTGCTAGTGACCTCACCTTGCTAAATCTAATGGCTTGTTTTCAGTCCTTGTTTTACTTCACCTGCTAGCGCCATTTGACATGGTTGACTCTTCTTTTCTCCTCAGTACAGTTTTCTCTACTTTTCCAAGGATGCCTCACTCACTTGGTATTACTCCTGCCTCACTGGTGGCTTGTTCTCAGTTTCATTTGCTGGTTTCTCCCTTCATCCCAGCCTCTTAATGTTAGTGTTCCTAGGTTTGGTTCTTGGTCCTCTTCTCCGTATTTTTCTCATGATTGAGCTCATCCAGTCTTAATGGCTTTAAGGACTATCTAAAGGGCTATGACTCCCAAATTTATATGTAGCCCAGACTTTTTCCCTGACAGTCTCCTCAATGTCATTATTAATAATGAGATATTAGTTGGATATCTAATAGTATTTCAAAGTTAGCATTTCCAAAATCCAAATCAGATAGCATTAATAATTTTAAAAAAAACAAAAACCTCTAAATAATGTGCATCTGTATAGAACTGGGGTGGAGATCAGAGATTGGTCTTTACAACTCTAGTGAAATAGTATTGCTTTATTTTGGGGATAGACTTTCTTCTTAGTTCTGAGCCAGTTGTACTATATGTTCCCTTAATTAGTTTGGCCTGAAATCAACTTTCTCCTCCTTCCATTTACTTTTGTTTCTGTCTTTTAGACCTTAGATTTAATGACAAGTGAATTTGGATGGTCGGAGGCAGATCACTATTTCTGAAAGTAAAACATTTTAATTCTTTTTCACCTGCATTGTTCATCATAGTAAAAACCAGGTCTGTTTTTTAGGTATCATCTTTATCAGAAAGTGAAGAATCTCAGGACTCATCTGATAGTATAGGCTCCTCACAGAAAGCCCACGGGATCTTAGCACGGCGCCCATCTTACAGGTGAGTACTCTCCTGTCAAACCCTGAGTGTGCTGTAATACCAAATGATTTCAAATAGTGCTGTGTAAAAACAAACTATGTAAAGGGAGAGCATGTGTTTAGATAGGAAGGGCATTAAAACAGATTCGAGACAGATTATGAAGGGCTGTGCTAAAGAGGACTTCAGACCTATCTTCTGGCAAAGTACTAGATTTCCATATTTATTTTTAGATAGGTAACTTTAATAGCAATATGAAAGGAGGACTGTAGATTTTAGGAATTAGATTACTTTGTGTTTTCTTAACTTCCTAAGTCTGGGCCTTTGTTCCTTATGTGTCCCTTTGCTGAAACACATTGTTCTACATTCTGCATAAGTCCTGCATATATTTGAGGCCTCACTTCCTCCTGAAAGCCTTCTCTGATTATCTTCTCTCCAACGCCCCCTCCAAGACCAGATTAAGTCTTTCTTCTATGGCATCTTCTTACTGACCCCTGTTAAAGTACTTATCCTCTGGAAATCCAGTTTATTTGAGGGCATGGCCCATGTATTATTTTTGTGATCCTAGGGCCTAGCAAAGTGACCATACAAGATTACTATCAATAATTGTTGAATGAATGGAGAGCTGGAAGTAGTACAGCTAATTGACAGAAAGCCGTTGAAATAATCTGGGTGATTTCATGTGGGTAGTGGGATAGTTTTGGAGACACTTTTTGAGACACTTTTGTGCTAGAATTGACAAACTTGATGGCTAGATGGCAGGAGGAACAGAAGACGGAAAGGATGAAACTCTGACTTTGAGACATATAAACAGATGCAATAAGATTTCTGAAGTTATGAGAGAACTACATCTGTGGTATAGTCGTTCCTGTCTGGTAGAATGAGTGGGAAAGACTTCATAAAAGATGTCATTTAGATTACCACCAATCTACTAAATACTGTGAGATAGGGGCAGGGAGAAGTTTTGTAACTCAGGAAACAAGCTTCTTAGGCTGAGGGAAGTGTAATCAAAGGTAGGTTGTATGTTAAGAAAGAGGTTGGCCTGTTCTGGGAATTGGGAATTTAAGATGCAGGAAGGAAGCAGAGGTTTATCAAGAAAAGGTAAATGAGTCAACTTACTTAGAACCGTGTTACAAGATGGAAATTATACGAGGCAGAAACATGTAAGACAGGAATGGTCCATTAGTTTGCAAATTGGCCCTTGTATACAGAGGGCGAGGAGAGACCAAAGAAGCAGACCACTGGATTAGTAGAGTGGCAAGTTTAATAAGCAAGGGAATTTACTTAAGAGGCTTTTCTTAAGTGGCTGCACAATGAATAGATCTTCAGCCTGCCCACCAGAATCTTGAAAGTTTATATAGGAGCCTTAACTGGGATCAGTCACATATACCATTACTTACAAGTGGTCACAGGCCAAGCTGCTCTGAGTTCAGCCTGTGGCTGCTGAAGTTTGTTCCTGTTTCCAGGTATCTGTATACCAGGCATTAGCAGGAATTTCCTTCATTCCCTCTCTCCAGGCCCCGGGCCACCATAGGAAGCATTTGGAGTATGTAGATACTCTCACATTTCTCAAGACATTGGGCTGGCAGACACAGTGCTCCTCTGCTGCAAATAGGTGTGGCACTTAGTCACAGTGAGCGTTTGAGCCAGGACAAAGGGAACCCATCCATTGATAGGAAAGGAAGTTCTTACCATGATATGTCATTCCTTTGGGAGAGGCTCTCCCTGGAGGAGAGCTGTGTACACTGCTAGGGGCTATTGACCTATGGGGGTGTATTGGGTTTCTGCCCCCTTCCAGAGCTGGGACCAAGTCCTAGGGGTACTCTCTCCTTCTGTTGTCTCTGCCAGTGCTCAAACCCATATCTTCCAGAGTCACAGACACATCTAACTCATCTGGTAGCCCTGAAAGAAACAATAGAGACTAAAATAATACATCAGTAAAGCAGATAGATAAAGAAGATAAATTAAAAAAACAACCTCCCAGCAAACAAAAGCCCTAGTCTGGACAGCTTCACAGAGTTTTACCAAACATTCAAAGAAAAACAAACACCTATCCTCCTCAAACTATTCCAAGAAATCCAAGAGGAAAGAACACTTCCAGGCTCTTTTTACGAGGCCAGTATTAGCCTAATTCCAAAACCAAATAAAGACACTACAAAGAAAGAGAATTATAGGTCAGTATCCTTGATGAACGTAGATGTTAAGATCCTCAAGAAACATTAACGGATCGGATCCAGCAATATATTAAAAAGATCATACATCATGATCAAGTGGGATTTATTCCAGAGATGCAAGGCTAGTACAATATTTCCAAATCAACACATAAACAAATTAAAAGACAAAAATCACATGATCATATCAATAGATGGGAAAAAAGCATTTGACAAAATCCAACACTCATTTTTGATAAAAAACTTTCAGCAAAGTGGAAATAGAGGAATCATACCTCAACGTAATAAAGGCCATATATGACAAACCTACAGCCAGCATCTTACTCAATGGGCAAAAACTAAAACCGTTTCCCCTAAGAACAGGAACAAGACAAGAATGTCCGTTTTCACCACTCTTATTCAACATAGAAGTCCTAGCCACAGCGATCAGACAAGAAGAAAACATAAAAGGCATCCAAATTGGAAAGGAGGAAGTAAAACTGTTATTATTTGCAGATGACATGATATTGTAAATAGAAAACTCTAAGGACTCCACCAAAAAACTACTAGATTTAATAAATGAATTTGGCAGTGTAGCAGGATACAAAATTAACACCCAGAAATCAATGGCATTTTTATACACCAACAATAATCTCTCAGAAAGAGATACCTTAAAAAAAAAATCCCATTTACCATCATAACAAAAAATTAAGATACTTAGGAATAAACTTAACCAAGAAGGCAAAAGACCTGTACTTGGAAAACTATAGGACGATGAAAAAAGAAATAGAAAAAGATATAAACAAGTGCAAGAATATACTGTGTTTTCTTTTTTTGGTGTTAAGTTGCGTGAGTTCTTATAGATTTTGGATATTAATCCTTTGGCAGTTAAGTTGTATGAGTTCTTACAGATTTTGGATATTAATCCTTTAGCAGGTATATCACTGAAAAAGACCTTCTCCATTCAGTAGGTTGTATTTTCATTTTGTTGATGGTCACCTTCAGTGTAGAAAAACTTTTTAGTTTGATGTAGTCCCACTTGTTTATTTTTTCTTTTGTTACCCTTGCATGAGGAGACATATCCAAAAAGATATTGCTAAGAAAGATGTCAAAGAGTTTACTGCCTACATTTTGTTCTAGGAGTTTTATGGTTTCAGGTCTTATATTTAAGTCATTAATCTATTTTGAGTTTATTCTTGTATATGGTATAAAAAGTAGTCTTTCATTTTTTTGCATATATCTCTTCAGTTTTCCCAACACCATTTATTGAAAAGACTGTCTTTACTCCATTATATATTCTTGCCTCCTTTGTCATAGATTAATTGACCATATAGGTGTGGGTTTATTTCCAAACTCTATTCTGTTCCATTAATCTGTGTCTGTTTTTATGCCAGTACCATGCTGTTTTGATTACTATGGCCTTGTAGTATAGTTTGATATCAGATAGTGTGATACCTCCAATTTTGTTGTTCTTTCTCAAGATTGTTTTGGCTATTTGGTATCTTTTGTGGTGCCACATAAACTTGAGGGTTATTTGTTCTAGTTCTGCACTGGAGTTTAGAACGAGTGAGTTTGTGAATGAGCAAGCAAGTCTGTACTTGAGCCTTTAAGAAGATGGCGGCCAAATAGGCAGACCTTTCTTGCACCTCTTCACTGGGCCAGACTGCAAATAAAACTAAATTGGGGAACATTCATCAGGAATTACCAGCTGAGGGTCAGCTGAGGAGACTTATATCCTGGAACGACAGAAAACACCTGAAGACTGGTAGGAAGGGTGAGGTCGTAAGAGGGGCTGACGCAGCTTCCATGGGCAGCAGGCTGAGATTGAAGGGGGGATCTCTTGGCTACAGGAGGGTAATTTCTCTGAGAAGATTGAGGCCCAGAATTCAGGCTCAGCCCGGAGCACCAGAGAAAGATGGCAGGTCTTTTGGCTGCCTAGGAAACTGGGGTCGGAGATTAAGCCTCAGGGTTTTTTTGTTTGTTCATTTTTGAAACCCAGAGCACAAATTTTGTTTGCAGCAACTCACCTGAGGCTTTGGAGGAGGGAGGGCAGTGAGCACTCAAGGTGCCTAAGGAGAGGCCGGGATGGGAAACATTGTGGGGAGATGTGGAAGAGCAGCAGCCGAGAGTCCTGCATTCAGTCTTAGCTCCCAAACCAAAATGGCCATTTTTTCTGAGAGGCACTAGTCCCTCCCAGAAGCCACAGCTCAGGAAAAGGAAAAAACCCTGCCCTAGGTGATACAGCCTGCCACACCCTGCACCTTGACCTTTGCAGAGGAGACAGCAACAGAGGCCAAGCCTATGGGTTTGAACAGACTCAGGAAGCGTCAGTGACAGGATTGGCGGTGGGACTGTACACCCCACTATCCCAAGAACCTGACTGGTGCTTCCTCCGCATGGAGAGCTGATAGAAACTCCCAGTATCCAGCTTATCCCATTGGACTGCATATGAGGACCTCTGCTCAGCCAGGGCAGAGTAATACTCTGGGACGCTCAGGAGTAGCAGCTCTGGGAATGGGGAAACACACCTACTACTTTCCCTGAAATCTGAACAGCACCTCCCCTCTTAGGAGACCAAGGGGGCTATACTCCCAATTCCACCTAAAGCCCTTTCAGAAATAAACTTTTAAAAAATACATCTTTATTGATTTCAGAGAGAGGAAAGGAGAGGGAGAGATAGAAACATCAGTGATGAGAGAGTCATTGATCGGCTGCCTTCTGCACACCCCCTACTGGGAATCAAGCCCTCGACACAGCATGTGTCCTGATCTGGAACTGAACCTCAATCTCCTGGATCATAGGTAGATGCTCAACCTCTGAGCCATGCTGGCCAGGCCAGTGATTTTGAGTGATTAAGATTGACACCTGGCTGGC